TGCTAAGGGGAATATTTCTCTCCTCCCAGTCCCTCATGTCCTCTTCATTCTTCCCCACTCCCATCCACTCTTACTCATGTTCTCTTCAGAAAAACACAGACGTCCCATGGATATCAACCAGTCATGGCATACCAAGTTGTAGGAGTACTAGCCACTCCCTCTCCTATTAAGGCTGGACAAGACTACCCAATAGGAGGAAAGGGTCCCCAAAGTGGCAACAAAGTCAAAGACAGTCCCTGCTCCCACTGTTAGGAATCCCACAACAAGACCAAGCTACCAAACTGTAATAAATATTCAGAGGGCCTAGATCTGTCATATGTAGGTTCCCTGGTTGGTGGTTGAGTCTCTGTGAGCCACTATGAGCCCACATTAGTTGGTTCTGTGGGTTTTCTTGTGGTGTCCTTGACCCCTTTGGCTCCTACAATCTTTCCTCCCCATCTTTCTCAGAATTCTCCAAGCTCCACCTGATGTTTCGCTGTCGTTCTCTGCATCTGTTTCTGTCAGTTTCTGGGTAAGGCCTCTCTGATAACAATTAGGCTAGGCACCAATCAGAATATCATTAGGCATCATTTCATTGACTTTTTTTCCTATCAGGTTTGGTTCTACCCTAGGTCTCTGAACTATCCAGCCTCTGGGTTCTGCACCTCCAGGAAGTATCAGGGGTGGACTCCCTCTCATGCCATGGGTCTCAAACTGGACTTTTAACTGGAATTTTAATCCAGCAACACAGCTACTCTGATCACATCCAAATACCTTCTAGGTCTATATGATTGGTTGGAATGCAGACATGCCCTTAGCACATACCTTTAATCCCAAACAATGAAGGCAAAGTTAGTTTATAGAAGGAAGTACCCATGTTTGAAAGTAATGTCTAATTTAGCAGTAGACAACATGATGAATCAGAGAAAGATTTGAAAAAAAAATAGGAGATGCCCAAATCTCACAAGAAGAGAGAATAAAGAGAGACAACTTAAGATAAAACAGAGGAGGGGGTGGTAGTTTTTCCTGGAGAATGGTACAGAGACAGGTTGCAGAGAAAGAACAAGCAAGGTACAGGTGAAGACAAAATGACCAGAGAATGAGAAGGAGCCAGAAGATTAAAACATATTGCCAAAGTTAGTGTGAGGGCACGCAGAGTAAATGAGTCAGAAGCTAAAAGAAGCCAGTTGGAATCAGTCAGCTTGGAGCCAGAACAGCTGAGTTGAACCAGCCAGTTAGAAAGAACAGGAAAGAGTATGTTTATTCAACAGTATGTCTCAGAGGCTGAAATCATTCTAGGCCTAGATAAGATTGTACAGAGGCAGTAAGCCTCAAAGACAACAATTACATCTGGCAAACAAAAGATACATTTACTGCCACCGGTTGGCCACTTCCACAGTTTCTGTGCTATTTTACCCAAGCATGTCTTATAGGCAGAAGAAATTGTAGATCCAAGATTTTGTAGCTGTGTTGGTGACCCAATCCTTCCACTGGAAGTCTTGCCTGATTACATGAGAGGGCCAGCTCAGGCTCTGTATCACCCTTTGCTAGGAGTGTTAGCTAAGGTCACCCTCATAAATTGCCCTAGGTTTCTAGCTTGTCATAAATATTTCCCCCAATCCATTTATCTCTCCAATTACCTTCCTCCTCCATCTTCCCTCTACCTGATCCCTCCTGTTCCCATCCCCACCTCACCGTATCCAGACCTCTCCCCCATCCACCTGAGATGTCTATTCTGTTTCTGCTTCACAGAGAGATTCATGTGTCCCCTTTTGAGACCTCGTTTTTACTTAGCTTCTCTGGGTCTGTGGATTGTAACATTATTATTGTTTTCTTTACAGCTAATATTCACTTATAAGTGAATATATATCGTTTGTCTTTCTGGGTCTGGATTACTTCACCCACAATGATCTTTTCTAGTTCCATTTTTTCTGCGAATTTGATGATTTCCTTGTTTTTAATAGCGGAGTAGTTTTTTAATAATTGGTACACTGTGTAAATGTACCACATTTTCTTTCTCCATTCTCCAGTTAAGGGACATCTGGGTAGTTTCCAGTTTCTGGCTTTATGAAAAAAGCTACTATGAACATAATTGAGTAAGCATCCTTTGGGTCTATGCGTAAGAGTGGTATAGCTGGATCTTGATGTAGATCAATTCCCATTTTCTGAGAAACCACTATATTGATTTCCAAAGTGATTGTACAAGTTTGAATTCCCACTAGTAATGGAGGAATGTTTCCCTTGCTTCACATCCTCCCCAGCATGTACTGTCACTTGAGTTTTTGCTCTTAGCCATTCTGACTGTTGTAAGATGGAATCTCAGAGTTCTTTTGATTTGCATTTCTCTGCCGGCTAAGGACATTGAACATTTCTTTAAATGCTTCTGAGCCATTTGAGAGATTTCTCTGTTGAGAATTCTCTGTTTAGCTCTGTACTCCATTTTTTTTTTAATTGGGTTGTTTGGTTTGTTGGTGTTTAATTTCTTGAGTTCTTTATATATTTTGGATATTAGTCTTCTGTCTGATGCAGGGTTTGTGAAGATATTTTCCCATTCTACAGGCTGCTGGTTTGTCCCTATGAAGGTGTTTTTTGCCTTATAAAAGATTTTCAGTTACATAAGGTCCCATTTATTAATTTTTTTATCTCAGTGCTTGCACATCTCGTGTTCTGTTCAGGAAGTTGTCTTCTGTGCCAGTATATTCAAGGTTCTTCCCTATCTTCTATCAGGTTTGATGTGTCTGGTTTTATGTTGAGGTTTTTTATCTACTTGGACTATATTTTTGTGCAGAGTGACAGATATGGATCTATTCGTAATTTTCTACATGCCAGCCTCCAGGCAGACAAGCACTATTTGTTGAAGATGCTTTCTTTTTTTCCCACTGCCTACTTTAATTTCTTTGTCAAAAATCAAATGTCTGTAAGTGTGTGGATTTGTTTCTGGTCCTTGACTTGATTCCATTGATCAACATGTCTGTTTTTATGCCAATACCATGCAGTTTTTATTACTATCGCTCTCTAGAATGGCTTGAAATCAGGGATAGTGATACCTTCAGAAGTACCAGGATTGTTTTAGCTATCCTGAGTTTTTTGTTTTCCACATGATGTTGAGTTTCAAGGTCTGTAGAGAAATGTGTTGGTAGTTTGATGGGAATTGCATTGAATTTGTAGATTGTGTTCGGTAGCATGGCCATTTTCACTGTGTTAATCCTACCAATCCATGAGCATAGGAAATCTTTCCATCTTCTGATATCTCTTCTGATTTCTTTTTTCAAATACTTGAAATTCTTGTATACATGTTTTTCATTTGCTTGGTTAGAATTACACCAAGATATTTTATATTATTTGTGGCTATTGTGAAGGCTGTTGTTTCCTTGATTTCTTTCTCAGCCTGTTTATCATTTGTATACAGGAGGGCTACTGATTTTTTTGAGCTATTTTTTTTAACCAGCCACTTTATTGAAGGTGTTTTTCACTGTAGGAAATCCCTGGTAGATTTTAGGGTTCCCTTATGTATACTATCATATCATTCTCGAATAGTGATATTTTAACTTCTTCCTTTCCAATTTGTGTTTGCTTGATCTCCTTTAGTTGTCTTATTGCTCTAGCTAAAACTTCAAGTACTATGTTGAAGAGATACAGAGAGAGTGGACAGCCTTGTCTTGTCCCTCGTTTTAGTGAAATTGCTTTGTTTTTCTTCATTTAATTTAATGTTAACTGTTGGCTTGTTGTATATCGCCTTTATTATGTTTAGGTATGTCTTTTGTATCTCTGATCTCTCCATGGCTTTTATCATACAGGGGCATTGGATTTTGTCAAGGCTTTTTCAGCATCTAATGAGATGATCATGTGGTGGGTTTTTTTTTTTTTCAGTTTGTTTATATGGTGTATTACACTGATACTTTACTATGTGGAACCATTCCTGCATCTCTGGGATGAATCCTCTTTGATCATGGCGGATGCTCTTTTTGAAGTGCTCTTGGTCATTTGGTTTGCAAGTATTTTATTGAGTATTTTAATAGGTATGATTTTTCAGTTTACTATACAGGTTGGTTTTTATGATATATGATGCTCTTCTGTTCTGCATATGGGCTTTTATTACAGCACTGAAGTGAAACATTTTGTCTGAATCATCACAGTAAACAGCAGTGTTTGACACCTGTGCACCAGTATGGGCACAAGAGGGAAAGCAGTCACGTGGGATTCTCACTGCTATGCATACAGTTGATATTTTGGTGGAGAGAGAAAGTGAAGGCTCAATTTTGCATATGGCTTTCATCATTTGAATTGTTTCTTGAGGGAAGTGAGAGAAATGGCTATGGGCTAAGAGGCTGCATGGCTGACTTGATAATTCATTATATAGGTTGCTGTGTATACTTTAGAGCAATCTGACCAACCCAGAACACAGATGGTGCTCACAGGTGCCCACAGGCCCTCCTTTAAGTCCCCATGGGGAGGAGGAAGAGCCTTATACCCACAATTCTATATGCCCAGACTTTTAGAAGCAGAAAGAACCCTGTAGAAAGAAGTCAAGTGTGCACACAGAAAGGAGAAATCATGAGTTTGTTTAGGAACATAAAATGTAATAAAGACATATAGGGGATTTATGAAGGAACCCTAATGTTTGTTCATAGTAATATAAATTTAAGAGTTTTGTCTTATATTTTAATGTTGAGAACATGTAACATGAAGTTCTGCCATCCATTATAGGTAGCTCTACAGCTTCTAAGTAGAATTTTAGTGTAAACTAAAATTCATAAAGCCCTCCATGTGTTGGCATGGGGCTACCATCCTTCATGTACCAATCATAAGGTGTCTCAGCCACCACCTTTATCCCCTAGTGAGAATTTCTTTGAGGATGTGAAGGGAGAAACAATGTGGTTGTTTTTGCACACTGGGACCAAATGACACCATTTAATCAGAACTGAATTTTTTTTTAAAGGAAACTTAGCATCTACCTTTATAAAATGTTGTTGTAATTTTTGATAGTTAATGCTTTTTCTCCTTGCTTTTAATTTTAAAAGAAAATTAGCCCTAAAACACCATCCAGACAAGAATCCAGATGACCCATCTGCTGCTGAGAAGTTTAAAGAAATAAACAATGCCCATACAATCCTCACAGACACATCAAAGAGAAACATATATGATAAGTATGGATCACTGGGACTCTATGTGGCTGAGCAATTTGGAGATGAAAACGTTAACACATACTTCATGCTGTCAAGCTGGTGGGCAAAGGTAAATCGCTTTTTTTCCTTCAAAACAATTTCCTGGAAGATCACAGTATAATTCATCCTTTTAGACCCTATCTCACAGAAAGACCAACCTCCCTTCTATTAAACTCCTGTAAATAAAATGAGACATCACTTCCACTGAAAGCTGTTATTGGGAGACCATTTTTTCTTTAGTTCTTCAATTAATTATGAAATTCAACATGACTTAACAGACTTCTAGACATTAATTATATTTGAGTTTGGAGCTTCATGTTAATCCTGACTGCTCCCCTCTTCCCCCTATGATGACTAATTAAGAACTGACTCATTTCTCAAAACCAAAAATAATTTATTAGTGTGACAACTATTTAATAAATTATTATAAGACAAATTTAGCCATGTACTTTACTATCTATAGCATAGGCTACGTCAGCAAAGACAATGCCTAGGAGAATGTCACAGGCTCAGCTGAAGCCTGCCTTGTGGTAGGAAAAGAGAGGTAAATGAGGAGAAAGGTGAGAACTAAGAAATAGAGGACAAGAGACTGATTAGATACCTGGTTAAGCAAAAGATAATATGTTTAATGACTCAGTACAATCAGAATTTTAGTAGTAATTTTGTTTTCTTTTTCCAGGAACCCCTAATATATGTACATTTGGTGGTGGTTTTATATTTTCATCAATTTTAATATTCTTTCCGATAAAAGTAATAGTTTTACATGTAGAACACACATATGTTCCATTAATGTATGTTGTGGGCAGTTGACAATCGTAAAAGTTGTGGTAAATATTAATTTAAAAAACCCCCACTCTTAAGAAAAGGCAGGATTCAAGTTGAAGAGAATTTTGTTGTTTTCTCCCACTTAAGAATTTGATAGGCATTAATTAATTAATTAGAAAAAATTAAAAAAAAAGACTAGCAGGTCCATTGAAAGACCCAACTTTATTTGCTATTATGAATCTTCCAATATTTACAATCCAGAACACAAACATTTTACATTTCTAACCTAATTTCCCATTAATATCATTCTTCTTAATTCTCTTCAACATACAAAAAATAAAAGCATCAAATTCTTTTGAAAAGAAAAAGAATTTGATAGGCAGCCAGGTGTGGTGGCGCACACCTGTAATCCTAGCATTCAGGGAGACAGAGGCAGACAGATCTCTGTGAGTGCAAAACTAGCCTGATCTACAAAGCAAGTCTAGGACATCTAAGGCTACAAAGAGAAACCTTGTCTTAAAAGAAAGAAAAAAGGAAAGAAAAAGAATTTGATAGGCAAGAAAATATGTTTTTATAGGTAAGCATGGAGAGACAGTCTGTACCACAAAGACCCATTTGCATTCTGCTAACTATCTGAAATCCCCACTGACCTTTCTCTGTGGGGAACTTTGGGGAAAGAGATGATGCTCAGTGAATTTGAGCGTGGAGTGAGAAGGTAGATTCGGACAGTGTCACTGCTGAGACAAGCACTCCCATAACAAGCTGGGCTTTTGTGGAGTTGCATGGGAATCTTACATCCAGATATGACACTATCCCCATGGAAGGGAGCATCTACAGCCCAGCTAATCACTCATATTTACCTGAAACTGTACTTTGTTTTTCTAAAGATGAGAATAGATTGTCTTGTCCAGGAAGCTGAGGAAACTGATCAAGATTTCTATAGACAAGCCTCATTCATGCAGTAGCAAAGGGATATGACACAGAGCAGTTATCAGGCATGACTCTTTAAAAAGAAGCATACTTTTCCTTTCTGCTGTCCCAAAGCTCAATTGCATGGCACTCATCAGAACAGCATTAAATATGTTCCCTATAAATGAATCAATGTACCATCAAAATGGACATTTAAAGAAATACCAGATACCGTTTTGTAACTAAGGGCAAACATGTGGTAAAGGATGAAGTAAGGCTGTTTACTACAAAAGGTAATTTTCCTGAAGAAAGGAACAGGATGAGGATGAAAAGATTTTCAGACAACAGTATGGAAGTTGCACAGTACAAAGAAATTGGACAAGTATAGGTGATGATCAGAGGTCCTTGAGGGCTGTGGCTGGGGAATGGTCCCAGGAGAGTTTTGGAGGTAAGTGGGGGTTTTACATTTCCCAGAAATGTTGCAATCATACAACGTACATTGCAAAGAAATCATAAATGTGTGGAACCAAAGGTCCCCTGCTGCAAGCCATCCTCAAGCTCCGTACCATTCTTGGAGCCAGAATGAGTAGATGACACCCCGAGGAAGGAGGGAAAGGAAGGTAGAGGAGTCAGCACTGAATTCTTCTAGGTCACTGGAGAAGTGTGTATGGACATATGTGATTTTTGTCCCACCCCACTGCCCTACCCCCACCATTGATTATATAGAACTTGCATTAAAATTTATAAGGTGTACAAACTTCGTCATGTATTCTAATAAATTTGACTTTGCTCAGTTGCTAAAAAAGTCAGTTTCTTGGAATTTCAGATTGGGGAAGTGAGGAGAAAGTGTTTTCTGTTTAATGAGCAAGTCATTTATGCATGTTCCCTAGTAGACACAACTCATTTGTTTGCCTATTATTTTGTATACTCATTAATTCAGTAGGAGCTGGGTGTCTGCAGCATGTCAGGTCTTAACCCACCTGGCACGTGGAGCTGAAGGATGACTAATGATTGTAGCCTATAAGACAGTCCCGTCAGCCAGTCTGTGTTCTAAACTGCCAGCAAGAATGAATTCGAGATCTGAGCTGATACGGCATACAGCTTGGGATACAAAGGATAGGTGTGTGGTTGGGAAAGGCACCATAAAGGTGATCTTTGAGGTGATCTTAGACAACAGGTGGGTATAAAGTGAAGAGTAGGCAGGGATATCTCGATAAGTAAAGCCACATGGAGTGTTGAGTGGCTGGAACGGGGAGAGATGGGCAGGAGATGCGCTGCATCTTCTGAGAACAAGGATGTCAGAGCGTTTCCTCCCCCGGCCCCGAAGGAAGCAAGAGTGGAGGCAGAGCGGCCCATAGGAGGCTGCTGAATGTCCACACCAGACATGAGCAGCGTCTGCAAAGCCCTTTGAGCCAACTAGAGAAGAGAGGGAAGGGGAAGGGATCTTTTGGAGACACTGTGCGCGATCGTGTTACCAACAGGCGCAGGCACATGGCAGGGAAGAAAGTGCCTTTCTGAGGGGTGACTGAACACTCTCACTGAACACTTGAGCCTCAGGAGCTCACTTGACCAGTGAGCCTTCTGTGCAGTGCTGGGCTGGTCTCTATTTTGCCTTACTTGCTCTTAGTACTCACAATGCCCAAGAAAAAAAAGAAAGTTCCAGACTTTATTACTCTGACTGAAAGTAATTTCCTCTAGGTCTTATTTGTACAAATGTTTATGAGAAAAACAGTTCTTTCAAAGGAACTTAAAAGATGGTTTACAGGGGGTAAGGATGCGGGTGAATGTGTAGCATACAGGGTATACTGGGATATCTTTAAGCCTCTGAGATACATAGTTCCAAACTCTGTTTCTGGGGTCATCTTCTGTTCTATGCCACTGACTCAGACTTCACTTGGTCTCTCTTTACCCTAGACCCTCTTTATCATCATCGGCCTCTTGACCGGCTGCTATTTTTGTTGCTGCCTTTGCTGCTGCTGCAACTGTTGTTGTGGACATTGTCGGCCCAAATCATCCACACCAGAAGAGGACTTCTATGTGTCACCAGAGGACCTTGAGGAGCAGATCAAGACCGACATGGAAAAAGGTAAGGAGAGATGAGCAAGGAGGTCCTGGGCACTGTTACCTTGGACTATGTCAGGTCTTACTGAAGTAAGAGGTCCAAAAACCATTCTGTCTCTCCCCCAGACTACCAGCTCTGGTGGGCATTTGGGAGAAGACAACAGCATTTGTATTGACTGAGCATAAAGAATGGCTAGATTTTACATTATTAGAGAGAAATCATAAAATGCCCATGATGCTGTAAAACAAGTATGGTTTGCCGTCTCTTTATTAAGAGAAATGAGCTCTGGGCTGGGGGAAGTTAGGATGAGAGGGCCCAGGGTCAGAGAGTCAAGGTAGAAATTTCTCCCAGAAGATACACTTCAGATCTCCATTGTAATAGAAGGCACTGATGAGTCACAACTGTGGCTTTTCTGCCTTTGTATTATTGTGTGATGATTTGGGAGTGCAACAGGAGTTAGATTCCTCCTCTTCGTCTAAATTGTAGCTTCTCTGCCCCTATGCATACTAAAAGATAGCCTTAAAGCAGCATGGAGAATGAACTCTGCTCTCTCGGCCACCTCTGCCTGTCCATGTGCATATATCTCTGTATTGCATTGTGTCATTCTTCAAGTTCCTTCTACCCAGAAAGAAAAAAAGGAAGAAAAAAAAACTGTAAAAAAGAGAAAAACCTCACAAAATTCAAAGTACTCGAGATAGATTTTAGTCTTTGGACAATGTCTTTGTTTAAGCAAGCCAGGACCAAGCCTGCCATTGTACTGTTGTCTTGAGGCAATTCTCTCTCATTTTCTCCTGTGCAGTACATTATCATCTTGGGTTTCAGACTTTATCACTAAATCCCACTTTCAAATCCCCAAGAAACAGCCAAGAGAATTGCTTGATAACTGAAAGGAGCACACTTCTTTCAGGACTGCTGGAACCAGGATGGTGTAGTTCTCTGGTTCTGCGGTCACACTGGAAAGCACAGAGACTATTTGAAGGCTTCCACATGCCTCCTATTTCCCATTGTATACAATGCTAAGTAACAGCTTGTGTGAATGAACCACCCAGACTCCAGCAAATGGGTATCTTTAATAATGTGACTTGTGCTAAATCCCAGGCCCTCAGAAATGAGAGAGAGCCCAGAGAAGGCAGAGGTTTTGTTTTGTTTTTCCCTTTTTGTAGACTGCAATGTCTTGCTATGGGCATGGTTATACAGCAGCTAGAAGTATTCTGGGCCATTTCTTGTTATTGATCAAACTGTGGGCTGATGGTCAAATACAATTATTGTACTTTTACTTTGCATTATTTTGTGTAGAAAGTAACAAATATTAAGTTTTTAATGAGGGTGTACAGAACAAACAGCTCACAGGATCTCTAACAAATGAATTAAGCAGTGCTAATTACACAAAAAAGCCCTTCTCATTAGGCAAAGGTGGGTTGTGCCACAACTTGCTTATGTTTGGCTATTCCTGGGCATGGTTACATATGCCCTTGTGAGGCAGGTAATGAGGAAGAAAATGCCACATGCCCTTCTGTGGCTGTGGCTGTGGCTCATTTTCTCTGTGTGTAACTTGAGGTGACAGTTCCAAGAAGGGGAGAAATAGGTGCTTGGGTGGTCTATAGGGTCTGGTGTGATGTCTCTGTGGGTGTGGCATTACTCTGTCGTGTGTCAGGGACTACTGGCTACACTGACCACATGATCTTCCTATAAAGTCAGCCACAAAAGGAGGGACAGTCCCACACTGTTGACTTTGTCTAAACATTTTCATCTTTGTTTTTCATTCTAGGTTGAATCGTGTTTATACTTTTTAAGTCAGAATGCAAAGTAAAAAGTTTCATTATGGCATCTTCATTTATACACCACTGTACTTCTGATTCTTCCATGGCTTTTCATTTGTAGTAGGAAAACCTAAATCTGGGTGAATTGAACCAAAAAGCCTCATTGCTCTTCTTCCGTTACATTGGATGAAAGCTTCAGTAGGTCATTTCAGTAGACCTTGGTGGAAGATCTTTTTTCTGGAACAGAAACTTAGAGTAGGTGCCAGATTCTCCCCAGGGCTTCTCCCTGCTGGGTGATTGGTGATGGGTCTGTGCTCTTTCTTCTTGCTGTTCTGACACTCCAGAGCTAGCATTGTTGAGGTCACATCTGTAATCCTATCCTACAACTATCTGTCCTCCTACTATGTCATTTGTAAAGAATCTCTATCGCACAGGAATAGCTTTCTCTTACTTATAAATATCTGAAAGATTTTATTCTAGGCTGACCCAGGTCTTATGGTTTCTGCAATTTATGCAGTCTGGGCAGGCCTCTTTAAGAAAATAACACAAAGTTCTGACATGAATAGTTGCTTAAAATGAAATAATCACAACAAATTAATGAGCTTAAAAATGGACAAACACCATATATGTCACAAAATCAGGGAGTAAAACAGTCATTTAACCACCTAGCTCATCTGTGTGCTATATTCCTATGGCTGAATATTCTTTTCTTATATATTCATGTAACATAAACTCACTATATCATTTCCTGTAGAAAAATATGAAAATTAACTCTCCCTTTCCTCTATTGTATTGACCAAAATTTGTTGTTATTATTATTGTTGTTATCATTATTATAATTGATGAATTAGAACAATTTCTTCTAGCTTTACAGCTAATGCTGACAGGGTTGTATAGGACTAGAGATTATTGTCAAATTTGGGACGCCTATCTAGTTTACTCAATACACGTAAGATGTAAGATATAGAAGAATTTTCCTCAAACAACTTTTTTACTCTGTACATGTCAAACTCTGTTGTCATTACAGCACCTAATCCTCCTGGAGTCAGAGTCCAGAGGACATATTCATATGCTCTGGCATGGGTTTCAACATCATCCCAGCACATGAGATCAATAGAATAGTAGTGTGTGGATGAATAGGAGAACCAGGGGTTTGTATTAACAGTTCATCTCAGCGCTACACATCTCATTATCCTGTGCTTAGAGATTTGACCCAAAGATGAAGACTATAAATGGAAAATTTTTTTGCATGAATACTGATTTTAATCAAAGGTAGCATTTCTTTGTCCTGTTTTTTTAAATTCAGAAATGCTGAAATATGAAATATAACGAAACTAATATGAGGCTATTCTCCTTCCAGAATAAGTTAACAACTGCTGAACTTTTCCCTTTTATATCCTGCTCTGCCAACCAAAAAGAGAACAGGAGTTAGCAAGAGTTGGGACTTCACAATTCTTCTTCATTCCCCATGGATGGCTTAATCTTGTATACGGCTTGTAGATACAGCCGGAGCCTCTGTGAATTCACATAAACATTGTTCTTTTCATGTTCAAAAAAAATATCGTTTCCCTGTTGAGGTCCACTACTTCTGGCTGTTAGAAGCTTTCCAACCTCTCTTGAATAAAGATCTATGAGTTTGGGGAGATGGAGGTCATGCTCTAGTCCAGTGGCTCTCCACCATTCTAGTGCTGCAACCCTTTGTAGTCCCTATGTTGCGATGACCCCCAGCCACAGCATTATTTTCATTGCTACTTCGTAAATGCAGTTTTACTACTGTTAGGAATCATAAGTAGACATCTGTGTTTTTGGATAGCATTAGGCAACCCCTGTGAAAGGGTCATTTGATCTTAAAGAGGTAGCAACCCACAGGCTGAGAACCAGTGCTCCAGTGTACATAGAGGAACAGTAAGTGTGCTCCATGAGTTGAGAGAAAGGAGAGTGCACATGAAAGCTGGAGGGAAAGGCAGGCAGGGGAGAGGTTGCAGGGAAGTCAACAGTGGAGTTGCTCAAAATACATTATATGCATGTATGCAATTCTCAAACCGGAAAAACAAAACAAACAAACAAATAAACAAACAAACAAAAAAAAACCCCAACCAACCAAACAAAAAATTGCCAAAAAAAAAAAAAAAAAAGGAAAACTAGAAAAGTGCACTTCTGGCCAAATTATCTGGTTAACCACTTCAAATTTCAGTTTAAAAACATATTATAGAATGTCATATTTCTTAACTTATAAAAATTCAAATTTGAAATATCAAATCTGTTTTGCTCATTGACTTATCTCTTTAAAAAACAACACAGTTTACTGGCTTTGAATAGCACGGCAAGTGATTTCCACATGAAGCTTTGTTTTCTGCACATTTTTCTTGTACGTGTATTTCAGGCGCGCCTGCCGTTTGCTGCCGCTGTGTTGAGCCTCTGTGGTTGTAAACATGGAGCAAGCCTCCCCTTAAGTGTGCTGGTGCTGGCTGGTTGTGCCAGCAGAAGGCAGAGGGCTGTTTGGGTTGTTCTGTTTCTTTAAATGATGTTGAAGTAAATTACTCAACTATTGTGGTTAAAAAATGAAGGACAGACAGTTCAAACAGTGCTACCTTCAGAATCTGCGGCCAGCTAGAGAACTCGCAAACGGGTCCTCCCAGTTCAGACCTAGGACTACACTGCTCTTAGAAGAAGCCAGTCAGCCTTACAGAGCTTGTCCTCGGTAGGGGCTTAGTCTTTGAAGAACTAAAACATGAACAGTGAAATATTATTTCCCCTACTCTCACATGTTTCCACCTAGAAACTCCACTATGGAATTTTGAGGGACATGATTAAAACAGACCATTTAGACCCTGTGCTCCTCTGACAGCTGAAGGCCGAAAAAAAAAATCTAAATTCTATTAGTTTGATAGAATCTTATTGTGTGGTATTATTTCTCTCCCCACTTCCCATCTCTGTTCGCATTTGCTAACAGACAAAAGCAACAAAAGCCTAAACTACAGCCTATCATTTCTGAACACTCTGACAAAGCAGACCAAACTATAAGCACTAAATTCAGTTGTTGGTTTTTTTTTTTTTTTCCTTCTTCTATGCTGAAGCCAATAGAATTAAATCCAACCAAAACTGTTCAGGTGAACACTAACAATTTCCTGTGGATTAATGTGTTTTGTTTTGTTTTTTATGGAAGAGGTGGAGGTGTGTTTCTAAAGGACAGGAGTCTTTACAATTCTGACCTTGGTTATGATTCAGAGCGTGGAAAAATGTTGATTGCTTCATTGTTATTGCCACTCACCTGGATAGACTCAGATAAATTCACAGCCACCAAGCAGAAGTAGCCATATGGCTCTTGTTCTCAGCCAAGATCTAGACACATATAATGCACTTGCTGCTCAGCATTCATCACATCTGCCATTCCAGGAAAAGGGCAGCAAAGGAGAAGAGAATTCATCCTCCCTCTTTTTGTACCCTTACTTAGTCTCCTTTTCCCTGCAATGAGGAAGCAATGTCTAGGAACTATGGAAGGAAAGTAACACTAGAAACCTGTGATGCTTCATAGGAAGATGTCCTCAAGCATTAAGGCACCAGGCCGGGGCAGTAGGACAAGTACGCCAGCCTAGAATGCTGCCCAACAGTGCAGCGCAAAGTGTACCGTCAATGTTTGTCTGCCGAGATTCAGTAAGAAATATGTGTTTACTGAGAATACCTTTCCATATCAAATACTTATTGAGCCCTTGGTGTCTGTTGGACAGTATGTTAGCAGACCTGGCTCCTGGAATCTTGAGTATTGTAATCTAGCAAATAAGATTTAGAGGCAAATAATAAACAGAAACACAGAGAACTAGCCAATTGGCAGCCACAAAAAAACCTACCAGAGGCAAAACACAGAGGCTATGAAAGCGAACAATAAGGGGTTGACTGTATTCAGGCTATTACAGCTTCCCCAGGGAAGTAACATTTAATGCAGAAACATAGAAGATCAGGAAAATGGGAAGTTTTGAAGGGGTGAATCTTGTGGTATAAGAAATGTTTGGTACAGTCTTTCTGTAAGTCCTGCAGATAAGGTGTTCTATATGCCAGGCAAGGCCTCCATGACACAATTTTATTGCTGAATTAGTGAAGCAGCTTCATGAAGGCAGTATTTGCAAAGATCCCGGAACTAAGATGTGCTTCTTCAAGGAAGGGCTCAACCCATAAAAATGAACTATGCTCAGCAGGGGCAGTGGGTTGTCCTTACAGTGGACTGGAGAAGAGCAAGAGCACAAGGAACAGCTTAGGAGAGAAGAAAGAAAGTCAATATAGAACTGCAGAGCGTTGGAGGGAGGCGTGAGTACACTCTGTGAACAGACAGACGTGGGAATATGATACTAAGTGAAAAAAGCTAGGCCTAAAAGACAAGTTCAGCTCCTATTTTGCCTGGATTTCACTTTGTGGATTTCACTTATTTATTCTTACTGTAGTAGTATTTTGAGAAAGCACCTCATAATTAAGTATCTACTCTTCTGCTGATGAACACTGAGTAGACTCCACTTTATTTGCAGCCGGTAGGAATGTTCTTGTGCTTACATCTTGGTGCGTGAGTGCTAAGGAGCGTTTGTGTTTGTGTCTAGAAATGGAATTTGTTAGGCAAAGGGTATTCACATCTACAATGTATTAAGTAGCACCATGCAGTTCTGCAAAACTGAGGGGTTAATTTACATTTCCCCTAAGAGCTAACATCAGCACAGAAACTCACAGTTTTTGCCAACACTTGACATTGACTGACTAGAAATGTATGTCAGTCTAGTGTGGGGGATTTGACACAGTGCTGTGGCTCTAATTTTTATCTCTTCATTTACTAGAAAGGTTGAACACTTGTGTTCATGCATGATGTATGTACCTGTATGTGTAGGTTCAGTACGTGTGTATATGCATATATGGAGGCCAAAGGGTGACCTAGGTAAATGGCTCCAAGGTTGTCTTCAGGCCTCCACATGCATTCATACATTCATGTTCACCCACATAAACAGACACCTGGTGCACAAATGCACAAAAACACCAAAGAGAGAAAGAAGCAAGCAAAAGAAGATACATGAGTTTACAAGAAAATCCAGTTGGTTCTTAGACCTGGGGGTTCAAATATTACTTTCCTACTTCATTTATTTCTTTCCCAAAGACATATTATTAGATGTAGGCAAACTGTTAGCACCCTGTCCTTTATAATTTTTAATCTTTTATCACATTTTCTTTTTGTGTCTGTGTTACATTCTGAATAATTTGTTCTGATAAATTTTCTACTTCATGATTTCCCTTTTTGGTTTTTTAAAGCTCTTTTGTTTTTAAAGTGTATTTTCAGATACTTTAATCACTAGACTTTTAAAAATATAGTTTATTTTTATTTTATTTTCATTGGTGTTTTGCCTGCTGTAGTTATAGACAGGTGTGAGCTGTTGTGTGGGTGCTGGAAATTGAACTCAGGTCCTCTGGAAGAACAGCCAGTGCTCTTAACCACTGAGCCATCTCTCCAGCCCCTAATTGCTAGATTTTTAAATAAATTTTAAAATCTGATAACTTTAAAAACTTAATTTTTTATATTTTTTGTTTGATAAATACAAAAATTGAAGAATCTATGAATATTATTTTGTCTTTTGTTGTTACTATAAGCTTTCCCCCAGTGCATTTTCCTATGTCTCTCTCTTTTTATGTGAGTGTGAGGTGTCTGTGTGTGTTTACTATGAGCTTAAGTTTCTGGCAGTTTTATAGAGACTCCTTAGTGTTAGGCTGAATGTGAAGTCATTCATGTCCTCTGTGTTCCTCAGATTACTCCTTGCACTGAACTTTATGGTGAATAATCATTGGATATCTTTTGAAAGACATGGGTACTGAAAAGACATGGGCTGACAACTTGTGTGTTCATTGGTTTGTCATCAAACATTTCTAAGGAAGCTTCTGCAGCCCAGCACCAGATGGGGCTTCACGAAGACTTAAGAGCGACTGTGGGTACTTTGGACACTTTCTGTGTTAAACTTCCTCTTAGGTTCTCCACCAGAACAAGCCTCTAAACTCTTGTTCCTTGTTTTCTCCTACTTCCCATGTCCATCCCATTTGTCTTTCTAAGTGAGGACTGATCATCTTACTCCGGGTCCTCTTTCTTGTTTATCTTCTTTAGGTGCACATATTTTAGTATGTTTATCCTATCTTATAGGTCTATATAAGTGAGTATATACTGTGTGTGTCTTTCTGCTCCTGGGATACCAAACTCAGGATGATCTTTTCTAGTTCCCACCATTTGCCTGCAAATGTCATGATTTCCTTGTTTTTAATTGCTGAGTAGTAGTCTATTGTGTAAAAGTACCACAATTTTTGTATCAATTCCTCCATTGATGGACATCTGGGTTGTTTCCAGTTTCTGGCTATTACAAATAAAGCTGCTACAAACATGGTTGAGCAAATGTCCTTGTTGTGTATTTGACCTTTTGGATATATGCCTAGTAGTGGTATAACTGGATCTTGAAGAAGCACTATTCCCAATTGTCTGAGAAAAGGCCAGATGGATTTCCAGAGTGATTGTACGTGTTTACATTCCCACCAGCAATGGAGGAGGGTTCCCCTTTCTCCACATCCTTTCCAGCATGTGTTGTCACTTGAGTTTTTAACCTTTGCCATTCTGCTGGGTGTAAGGTGAAATCTCAGGGTCGTTTTGATTAGTCATCTCTCTGATGACTAAGGATGTTGAACATCTGTTTAGTTGTTTCTCTGCCATTCTACATTCCTCCACAGAGAATTCTCTGTTTAGCTCCGTACCCCATTTTTTAATTGGATTGCTTGATTTGTTGCTTTCAATTTCTTTAGTTTTTATATATTCTGGATATCAGCCCTCTGTCAGATATAGGATTGGTGAAGATCCTTTCCCAGTCTGTAGGCTGTCGTTTTGTTCTAATGACAATGTCTTTTGCTTTACAGAAGCTTTTCAGTTTCATGAGGTTCCATTTATTGATTGTTGCTCTTAGAGCCTGTGCTGTTGGTGTTCTGTTCAGGAAGCTGTCTCCTGTGCCAATGAGTTCCAAGTTCTTCCCCACTTTTTCTTCTAACTGATTTAGTGTATCTGGTTTTATGTTGAGGTCTTTGATCCACTTGGACTTTAATTTTGTGCAGGGTAATAAATATGGATATATTTTCATTCTTCTGCATGTAGACATCCAGTTGTACCAGCACCATTTGTTGGACAGGAGCCTACCTCAGAGGGCCTCTGAAAGACTCTACCTAGCAGTGTATCAAAGCAGATGTGGAGACTCATAACCAAACCTTCGGCAGAGTGCAAGGAATCATAAAATAAAAGGAGGAGTTAATATGACCAGGAGAGGACTAGAGCTCCAAAAGAACAAAATATCTCAGGGCACGGGGTCCTCTATGAGACTACGAAGGACCATGTATGGATATAACATAGAACCCCTGCTTGGATGTAGCTCATGGTAGCTCAGTATCCAAGTGGGTTTCCCTAGTAAGGGGAATAGGAACTATTTCTGACATGAACTCAGTGGCTGGCTCCTTTACCTCCTACCCCCACCCCACCCCTAAGGGAGGAACAGCCTTGCTAAGCCACAGAGGAGGACATGGCAGCCAGTCCTTGAAGATACTTGATATGCTAGGGTCAGATGGAAGGGGAGGACCTCCCCTAGCAGTGGACCTGGAAAGGGACAGAGAGGAGATGAGGGAGGGAGGGAGTGGAATTGGGAGGGAATGAAGGAGGGGGCTATGGCTGGGATACAAAGTAAATAACCTGTGATTTAATATAAAAAAATTAAATAAAAAGAAAAGACAAAATAGAAAAAATAAAATAAAAATTAATAAAAAAATAGACCCTTTTTCCAATTAGAGCCATACGTGCAGTTAGGGACTACAAAACTCTAGCACTCATCCTCTAAATAAATGGTATTTTCCATACTTGTAGTTCTCATGAAAAACGAAACCTCTGGGATATGCAGTGTCCAACTTGAGTTTAGTTATAATCCTGTATACAATTCACAGAATTTGGAGAAGCCAGGCAGTATCTTGTGAGCATGCTTGGTATTTCAAAAGAACGCGCCTACCATTACCAAAGGAACTTGGTAAAAATGGGTTTGATTACTGCTTCTCTGTGTTTTCCCCCCAGATAAGGACTTTCCAGTTGTTCTCCAGCCTACAAATGCAAATGAGAAAACACAGCTAATCAGAGAAGGATCTCGAAGTTACTGTACAGACTCTTGATGTTGGGACCCATGGCAGGTTCACCGCTCCTCTGCTTGGTTCAGCCATGTCTCTGGGTGGTCGTGGGGGAGTCGGGAACATGAAATGCTGTGAACATATTCACATTTGTATTTTATTTTAGGTTAAGGGGAAGATGATTGCTACATAATTTTCTCAGACTCTCTCTTTGAGTAGAATTCCTAATGAAAAGCATTCAGTTTGATGAATAAAAGCCTGAAGAGTCATTTTGTGCTGCTTTCATGAAGTAATACGGTAGCAGTGTTCTGATTCTGACCTTAAGGTGAGCCATATGTTATTCCTCAGAGACAACTAACGTTGTTTCAGATGAAAAGACTTTTCTTTCACTAAACTAAACACAGTCATCATGCTTGCCACAAATGTCGGAAGCAAAACACTCCAAGGAGCTGAGAGGGAATTTGTGTTTAAAATGTTACAGAAATACAACCTAAAAGAGAAATGGCATTTACTGAAAATTGATGAGTAAAACTGGAACAGATAGGTTTAGTGTATGCTGTTAAAAATGTTTTGAAAATGACAAAAATACTCAACATTAGTTAAATCTTAGAACTAAGCCAGGTAATCAGCTTAAGCCTGACCTAGCCCCAAACAGTACACTGACCATTTTTATAGTACAATGACCTGTGTTTAGCCTGCCCGGATGAGCCAGAGAGGAAGACAGACACAGGAAGTGAGGGATGTGGCTCCAACTCCACAACATTCCATTGAAAACATGGCACCCATTTCACTGGCCTTCATTATGGGGCAGCTCTGAATGCGAGGCATCTTGAGCTCCAAAGTCACCTCTGCATTAGCTTGTTTGAAGTCTTTACCTCACCATGCAGAAGGAACCACACACTATCTCTAAAATGGTATAACAGCAAGGTGATCTGTTGCTTTTTCCTGAGCCTTTCTTAGTTCTTTATGTAATATTTCGTTTTTGAGTTTGTTATATTTTTGTATAACATTGCATAAAATACCATCTTCTTGTTCTTTTGTTTCCTCTCCCCACCCCACCAAATTATAGTCAATTGCTGCTAAATATATATTGTAAGTGAAAACTTGGTGTTACATCTCTGACAGTTATAGAATCACTAAAACTCTGCAGTTAGTGGGATTTCTCCCCCTACACAATAAAGCATAAAGAGATTTGATTTGGAAATTAAAAAAAATAAAACAAAAAAACCAAAACAGGTTCTAACCTATGTTGTAACTGGCTCCTGTGTCACCATCAGTACGGATACAGATTCACACTACACTAGAAGCTTCCTGAAGAGTTCTTTTCAGAAATCTCCAACCAGACAAAATAGGACCTGTGCTTCAGACAATGAATTTTAGGGTGAGCCAAATGTGGAGCTAGTCAGACTGATTGAAACTAGAAATGTGTTCTGTGAAGGAGTCAAGCACACCAACTGGGACACATTGGGCTTTCCTAGGGGATTGCTGCAATTAGCTTTCTTTACAATGGTGTTATGTATGGGATTTGGGTGGCCCTCTAGTTATGTCTCTAAAGCTTGCTAAGAAACAACTCCCTCTCTAACATTGCCTAAAGACTTTAATTTGTAACAAGGTTAAAAGTTGAAGGTTTTTTTTTTTTCTTTTAAACCCGTGTCTTATTTAGTTTCTTTGCTGTGAAGAGAGACCACAACTCTAGCTCTTTAATTAAAGGAAAAAAATGCTTAATTGGGGCTGGCTTACAGGTTCAGAGGTTTAGCCCATTATCATCATTGTGAGAAGAACAGTGTTGTGCAGGCAGATATGGTGCTGGAGACATGGTGCTGAGAGTTCTACATCAGGATCAGCAGGGATCACGAAAAGAGAGGGGCAGTGGGCCTGGTCTGAGCGTCAGAAACTTCAAAACCAGTGGCTGGCTCTTTGATCACCTCCCCCTGAGTGGGGAGCAGCCTTATCAGGCCACAGAGGAAGACAATGCAGCCAGTCCTGATGAGAACTGATAGGCTAGGGTCAGATGGAAGGGGAGAAGGTCCTCCCCTATCAATGGACTGGGGATGGGGCATTGGAGGAGAAGGCATGATTGGGAGGGGATGAGGGTAGAGCTACATCTGGGATACAAAGTGAATAAATTGTAATAAATTTAAAACATTATATTATTTAAAAAAAAAAGAAGAAGAAGAAAAAGAAAACCTCAAAGCCCAGCGATGTACTTCCTCCAACAAGGTCAAGCTTCCTATGAGCCTAAGGAGGCATTTTCATTCAAACCGCCACATTCCACTCTCTGGCCCCCATAGGCTTGTTAGCCATATCATAATGCAGAAATGCATTCAGTCCAACTTCAGAAATCCCCATAGTTTATCACAGTCTCAACACTGTTTAAAAGTCCAAAATCTCTGGAGACTCATGGCAATGTTTTAACTGTAACTCCTGTTAAATCAAACTAAAAAAGCAGATACTTCCAACAAACAGTGGCACAGGATATACATTAGCACTACAAAAGGGAGAAAATGGGGCATAGTGACACAAGACCAAAAACCAGTGGGGCAAACTCTGATCTCTGCATCTCCATGTCTGATGTCAAAGCACTCTTCAGATCTTCAACTCTTTTCAGTTTTGTTGACTGCAACACATTTCTCTCTCTTGGGCTGGCTCCACTCCCTGTTAGCAGCTTTCCCCGGGCAGGTATCTCAAGAATCTGGCATCTCCAACATCTTGGGGTCTCTAAGGCAATCCAGGCTTCACCTTTACAGATTCACCCAATGGTTGCTCTATGCCTCCATTCAGGGACAGCCCCAGCACACGCCTGGCCTCAGTGACTTTCCTTGGTCACAGAGGGAGATTCCATTAACCACTTTCTTCTATCCTTGACTCTAAAGCAACCATATGGCAGAAGCTGGCAAGCTCTGCCTAATGCAGGGGATGGAACATGGGCCCCTTGTTCAATTACATCTTCCCTGGCTTTCTGCTTTTGGTGGTTTCCTTCACTGCCTAAGCTTGGCTGTCACGGAACTTGCTCTGGAGACAGACCAGGCTGGCCTTGAAGTCAGAGATCTGCCATCCTCTGCCTTCTGATTGCTTGAACTAAAGATATGTACCACCAGGCCAGCCCTAAGCTTTTCTTTAATTTCTTTTCACTTATCTTTATCTCCTTTTTACACATTGGAAGCTTATCCAGGTAGGGTCTTGCTCTGAGGGCAACGCTTCCTTTATTCCACTAAGCATGAGGTTTCTTTAATCTGTTTACACTTCCTGGTGTTGTTTTTTCACCTAAATCTGTACATTTTGCATCTTTTTTTCTTCTCAGCTTGCTCCTTTTAATTATAGATCTACATATAGGCATGGTCACTAACAGCCAAGCAACATAGTCATTATTAGACTGGAAATCCACTGCCAAAGCTGTTAATCTTTAACTCTTCAATTTATTTTAAGGTAGATTTTTTGGACAAAGGCAGAAAGCCACATTCTTCATCAAAATATCTGAAGAACATTCTCTAGATCATGTGTTAATATTCTTCTCCTCTGAAACCTCTTGAGCTAGGCCCTGCAGTTGAAATCATCCTCATCATCACTGTCTTTCATGCTCCTAGTAGTATGGCCCACTAAATCATACTGAAAGCATTCAACTGCTTCCATAATCCAAAGTCCCAAAGTCTACATTCCTTCAAACAAAAGAATGATCAGGCCTATCACAGCAAAAACCCAGTCCCTGGTACCAACTCTCTCTTAGTTGACATTTCCATTGCTGTGAAGAGACACCATGACCATGCAGCTCAAAGGAAAACATTTCAGTGAGACTAGCATATAGTTCAGAGGTTTAGTCCATTATTGTCATAGCAGGAAGCTTGGAAGCATGTAGGCAGACATAGTGCTGGAGAAGGAGCTGAGAGTTCTACATCTGGATCAACAGGCAGCAGAAAGAAAGAGGCACACTGGGCCTGGCTTAAGCATCTGAAACCTCAACGCTAACCTCCCATTGACACACTTCTTCCAACAAGGCCAAACCTCCTAATAGTGCCACACCCTATAAACCTATGGAGCTATTTCATTCAAACTACCACAGTCAGTAAACAAAGTTAAACATTATATTTATGATGGGAATCATCTAGTTATAAGTGAGGAAGAGTGCTAGGAGCATACCATTTGTAATAGCTATTCTTGGCTGTCAACTTGACTACATTTGGAATTAACCAGAACTCAAAAATGGAGGGTAACCCTGTGAGGGATCTTTCCTAAATTTGAAGTACAAAAATTTATTTCAAATCTGGATCTTTGAGGTAGGAAGACACACCTTTTATCCTGATCTTTTGAGCTGGGAAAACCTACCTCTAATTTGGGCCACAGCTTTTGCTAGAAGCCTATGTAAGGACATAGAAGGAGGAAACTTTTGCTCTTTGCTTGCTTGTCCTCACCTTGCCAGTAAATGTATTCCTTCACTGGCATTAGAGCCTACTTCTTTGAGATTCTAGCATGTACTGGGGATCAGCAAAGACATCTGGCCTTACAGACTGAGCAACTACTAGATTCTTGGACTTTCCATTCTAACAGCCAGCCATTGTTAGATAAGCTAGACCACAGCCTGCAAGTCATTCTAACAAAAAAGAGATTCATTCTTTAAATTCTGTTACTCTAGAGAACCTTGACTAATATGCCACTATATATCATTTTAATCCTACTTAGCATAGCCTAGTCACTGTCCTCCACATCTTTGATTGAGAGGTCTTTGGGACTATATCACCTGGCCCTACCTGAGTAAACTTTATTTATTGCCTTTGTTATAAGATACCTTTTGGAGAACATGTACGCCTTGAGTGGACCATTTGACACCCCCATCAGTGTCTTCGGAAGCATGAAATGTCCTGCCTTTCTGAGCAGCAAAAGCAAAAATGCAAAAGGAAGCTCAGGACCAGAGTCTCCTCCCTTTCCAGACTTTTCTCTCCATATCACCATAATTCCCTGTTTTACTATCCTGCCTCACTTGGACCAAGAGAGATGAGAATACCATGATTAATGTGTCTCTGACTTCATGTCTCCCCTAAGTTGCTGAGGAC